AAACAAAAACAAACAAAACACTTGAGAGGCAACTCCCACTGCTGCAAACTGTCAGTGCATTCAAGTATCAGTTAGCTCTTGACATACCCTCCCTGTCCCAAAAAACACAGCCAATTTCAGCATCTGTACACCTTGCCACTCCCTGTAATGAATGGTGCTTGCCACTACATGGAGCTTTAGGGTGCAAGGAAAGCACAGCTCAACAAAGTCAGAGTAGCAGCTGACTTACTGAACTTCTTGTCAAAGGTTGCTATGGGTAATAAACTTTACACAGGTTTATGGAGACTGGAACTTCACAGAAGAGAAAGCTGAGGGAAAGCTCCTAAACCCACAAAACCTGTCTGACTGGGGGATGCTTCTGAACTGCAGCTACAAGGCACTACTTGGGGAGTCTATCACATGTACTTGCTTTTCTCTTACTCTCTGCTCACCACACACAGTTAGCAGCTATCACAGTCAGGATTCTGGCACAGCTGCCACTTTTCTTACATTCAAGCAGTTCCCTACTCAGACTGCAGAGACAGCTTCACTTGCATCTTCCTTCAGCAGGCCTGATCTCAGAGCTTGGGTAGGTACAAAAATCCAGCTAGTGAAGAACATATTCCCTCTTCACAGCGCTGCCTCTATGGATTGACTCCTCATGGCTCAAGTGCTTTCACATGAGGGTAGAGAGGAGCTGCCTTCTCTCAGGAAACAGAAATGACAGGAATGTGAAAAGACAATGTCACCATTTTTTGAAAACCCAGATGGCTCTGATATTTCTGACTGGAGGACAGAAAACCCTGTTTCGGGGTGGCAGATAATGCCATTATTTTCTCTACATAAACTTCTGTGATTTTATCTGCGTTATGTGGCAGCATACACCATGGAAGATCTCTTCATTCTTGGACATTGTAGAAAAAAAGCTGTGAAATTGAGCTGGAGCCTTAGTTATGAACACTAGGAACTTTCTTGGAGCAATTTGATGGCTTTAGGTGACCTTTCTCTCTCTCCAACGCAGAGAGATGTGGGGTTATTTTATTGAGTATGTATTGGTTCTAGATGATATCATCTGCAACAGGTCAGCTATAGTCAAAGCAAAAGACACCCTGCTGTGCTATTGGTATTTGGATTCTGAAAATAGCACAAGCAAAGATAAATTTCACATCACTACCATAGCATTTTGGTTTATTAACATAAATTAAATGCCTTCTTGCTTCCTTTCTTGTGGGATAGATAAAAAAAAAACAACAAAAAAACCCAACAAAAAACTCCTTAGAAAGAAAAGCTTGGTTTGAGGAGAAGCCCTATGCTTATGTGTTAAAATGAATCAAACTCTCCGTCCCAGGCTGTTTGGGCAGGCTGATGAGTAATCACAGCATAATCTGTATTGTTATTCTTACAGATGCCAGGCATCTGCTCTTTCGAACCACTCAGTATTCAAATGATTTCTGGGCTGCTGTTAAAATTGGACAGTGAGGCACAAAATTAGTTGGGTATTATGCCTTTCCCTTAAGCACTCTCCTCCTCCTTTGTAGGGATTCTGAAAACACAGCATTATCCTGCACTTAAATGTAGGCTTTGTGGACTAAGGCACAAGATGTTGAAGGGCCATCATC